CGCCCCGAAACGGGAGCGTTGGACGGCGCGGGGGTCGGGCATTCCGGCCTCGGAGGGAAACCGAGTTCCAGCTTCTCTCTTGGGTGACGCTTTTCTGCACCGGGACCGTGTTTCCGTGGCGCGATGTGGGAGAGAGCCGGGACGAAAGCGAACGGTTCTGCACGGGCGTCGCTGCCTTGCCGTGCTTCACGCTCCTGGTTCAGCGACGGTGGCGCGAGCCGTTTGTTATTAGCTAAAATATCGTGCTGTGGTGTTGCAAATAGCAAAACAAAAAGTGCCTCCTGAGAGATAGGAGAACGGGTTATTCCTGCGGAAGGTGGCCTAGTAACGTCTGTGAAGGACAGCCGTGTGATCGCGGGGGAGTTTTGCTAGCCGTAGTATCCAGGACTGAGTGAAAACCAAATTAAACCGTGTGACTTCTAACCACACGAACGCTTTATGTTTAGGAGGGGGACCTTTCCTTCTGTGTTACTGCCACTGAAACTCCTCTGGATCAGAGTTCTGCCTTTTCCCCTTTCAGAAGTGAAATTGGACGGTCGTGCTAGAAGCTGCTTGATGCCATTATGTGCAGCCTTAAAGCCGTCCCGTGTCCTGCGGAGCAGCAGCCGGTGGCACTGCGGCAATCGCGGCGGTGCTAGGCTGCGCCTCAGCTGGGGTGAGGAGGCCAAAGGAACATGCACCTGGCTGGTACCCAGTTAAAATAGGGTGGGGGAGCCGCTAGGTACCTCTTGTCTAGTGGGTCCCATCCCCTGTGTCCCCAGGCTGGGCTCGCAGACGCGTAGTGCACTGGGACTGGAGCAGAGCTAACCTGAGCTTGTTTCCAGCCCCGTTAACTCCAGTGACGCTTTGGTAGTTTGTTTAGTGATTGTTGCTGTCTCCTGCCCCCCAAACCGGGTTGACATGGCTTCGAGCTGGTGACCCCTAAATGATTTAGCCTGAAGTTCAGCTGGGCTGTGGCTGCTTCATGCATGAGCAGAGAGAAAGGAATCTGTGTGAGTAACCTGGGATCCCGCTGATCAGCAGCCCGTCTTCCGACTGCAGCCCCTAGGTTAAAAAGAGTGTAGGTGGCCAATGCCGGGTGGGACAGACAGCGAAGCCGTTGGTGCCCTGTTCCGTGGGTGAGCATTAGCCCCGGCAGAGGCGGCGAGGTGAGCTCTGCGTGGCCGGGCCATCTGCTCGTGCGTTGTGGAGCTGTGCCCCGCCAGCCTGGCTCTCAGGGGCTCCTCTTACTGCATGGGGCTCCTGGCCTGGGCCCTGCGGGGTCACCCTGGAGCCCTCGCCTGGGGGGAGCCGAGCAGGCTTGGCCTGGCCCGCGTGCAGCTGTGGTGAGACGCTTGAGGAGCTCCGTTCAGCGAGAGCCGCTCTCAACAAGCTTCCTGTTCTGCTGCGGCGTGACTTGTCAGCGCACGGGAAGGCGGCTGCCCACACAGATAACGACTGGGAGAGCATCGGGCCACTCCGACCTGTGATGTTAGTACCTGAAGAATGAACCGGGCGATTCCGGTGTGGAGTCCACACCTCACCTTCTCCGCAGCTTGTCTGGCAGCACTGACGAAGGCACGTCCTGGCTTACCTCAGATCTGCTGCCTTGCCGTAGGCAGTGTACGGGCTTGGTGTGAGAGGAGAAATTGGCTCAGAAAACGAAAAAGGCTGCCCAGGTTGTTGCTTTGTTTACAGAATCCCTCCTATGCAGCGTGGGGTTATCCAGAAGCTTGTTACTTCATTTTTATGGTCACTGGGAGCCTGGGGTCTCAGATAATTTGAGTTACTTAGTCGACAAGCGACGCGCGATGGCTGCACGACAGAGTTCTCTTTACGGGAACGAAGCAAAGAATTGCACTCAGTTTATTTGCCCCAAAGTTACGTGTAGCCTTTCGAAACTACTGACTGCTGCTGCCTTCTGCGACTGCGTCTGGCTCCAGTGTGGATGGTGCAGGGTGAAGAACTGTTGAAGTGGCTGTTGAAACAACTGCGCGTGTTTGAATCCCGCTCTGGGCACTGACCGTGCCTGGGCAGAAAGCTGGCGGGTGAAGCCCTGCTCACGCTGTTGCTCTTTGAGGGAGTTGGGGTTTTCCTGCAGGACTCGCGCTTTAAAGTTTCGAATCGCTTGGCAGAGTTTGCTCTTTGCCAGGCAGCACTCTACAGAGTGGGAAATAAAGTATGTAAGTGTGCTGCCTTCCGAGGTCATGCGAGGCCAAAACTGGCTCTGTTACTCTGACGCGATGAGAACAGAACCGAGCACAAAATACCGGTGTGGAACCTGAATCTCTCGCTTCCTCTCCTGGTGCTTTTAATTACAGAGCCACGGAGGCTTGTTCTGGACACCTCCATCAAGTTCATTCATCCTTAATATGCATGCAGTTCTGTAGGAAAAATGTTTTGCCTTGAAGATAAATTTTCTGTGGATGGTGGTGTGTGTAATTTTACCTTGTCTGTATGGGTGGAAGAAGCAGGTTTTGTAACTGCGAGATGGAGCACTGGTAGCGCTGGCGTGGGGGGTAACTTTCCTTGTGCGTGTTCGCAGGTGAACGAGCTCTGCTGGCATGTGCGCTGCCTCTCCTGCAGCGTTTGCCGAACGTCCCTCGGGAGGCACACCAGCTGCTACATCAAAGACAAGGATATCTTCTGCAAACTTGATTATTTCAGGTACATCGTACGGCTGCAGCGCTTGGTTTGGCGTGTCACGCGTACTGGTTACGTTGTGCTCGGGCTGCAAGGAAAACGTGCGCTTAGGCTTTTTTATTGGCTACGCTTATTTTCAGTAGTTAAACTCCGACACTTCTTGCAGGGGGACTTGGAAACCCCAAGTCTGGTTAGTGAAACTCCCCGTGAAGTCTCCCCCTGCCCCTCCGAGGCATAGCTGCTGCGTGCAGAGGGAAAGCAGACCCAGTCGCTGCCGCGGTGAGGTTGTAACGCGGGCGTATGCGCCAGCAGCCTCCGTAGTGCTGGTTGGGAGCACGAGGCAGAGCTGAGGTGATGTTGTTTGGACCTGCAGCATCCCCTGGAATTGCACAGCCAACCCAGAAAAAGTCCCGCGCTCGCCAAAAGGAGCGGTCAGCAGTTGCAGTTTCCTTGGTCAGTTTGATGGAGAACGTGAAGCCTTCTTCAACAGTAAGGCCTAGTCCTGTAAGGAGGAATTTTACCTATTCGTGCTGACATTGGAGGCACTTGGGATACAGAATCTTGGGTCCAGAAAGCAGCAAAACCCCTGAGTTTTGTGGGACTTTAAAAAAAAACAAAAACCAAAAAACTTAGGAGGCTGCAGGGATTTTTCAGGACAAATTCTCACCTACATAATCAACACATCTTGGTGGCTAGTTTCCTCCTCAAAGAGGAATATTCTACTGTAGTAATGTAAATACTTGCAGATATTTGAATTTGTTTTAAAATTGTAATGTGAATGTAATTAAGGAAGTCGCTATGATGATACGGGTTTTGCCCACCCTTTTGCTGACGGGGACTGATGAGGAGCGAAGCCTGATGTAGCTGAACGGGGGTAATTCAGACTGCCACTAGAGTGATGGGAAATAATTTGAATAATTGGCAGAGTTTTGAAGACAAAGCTGTTCCCATCTCCCACTCACAGCTTTTTAGAGAGGAATCGCCTTCGTAAAAGGGCAGATGAAGAGCTGTGACATCGCGTAGCAGTGAGGGTGTTTCAGTTTTACTCTTTGCCCTGTGGAAACATAAACGTCTGCCGTAGCGTCTTGCTATCGGATATGGACTTGCTGATGTTTTTTCCCAATAAAACCACAATTATGCTGTCCCCCAATGCCACGTGACCAGCCTGCTCGCTGCAAGTCTCCGCTGCCACGTGTCCCGGCTGTCACCCTCGGGGGTCACCCTCTTGCCTGAGCCGGTGTCTGTGCCTTCACCCCCCGTTGCTCTGTCTCCGCAGGCGGTACGGCACCCGCTGTTCCCGCTGCGGGCGGCACATTCACGCTACTGACTGGGTCCGAAGGGCCAAGGGAAACGTGTACCACTTGGCGTGTTTTGCGTGCTTCTCCTGCAAAAGGCAGCTTTCTACTGGAGAGGAGTTTGCGCTGGTTGAAGAGAAAGTGCTGTGTAGGGTGCACTACGACTGCATGTTGGACAACCTGAAAAGAGAAGTTGAAAATGGTAACGTACCCTTTTGTTAAGAACTATGGTTGTGGTTTAGTTTTAATTAAAATGTTGGGGTTTACTTCATCTTCCTTACTAAGAGGTAATTACCCAGCTTTACTGAGGCTGGAAGCACAGGTTCCTGAATTAAAATAAGGTGCAAATTATTGGATGTTTCAATTTTTAAGCTTGTTTAACTTTGTATAACTTGTTTTCTGTCCTAAGGAAAAGAAAGCGAGAGCACATGCAGCTGATAAAAAATGTCATGCTGGATCTGTTCCTTCCCTGACTTGCAGGGGGGGCGCTGGGTGACAGTGCCAGATCAGCTGGACTTTGAGCAGAATATGGCTTTTCTTAGAGCTGAAACTCGGCTGGCCAGCACCGTTGGCTGTTGGAGGACAGCCGGAGTGAGGAGTTGCATCGTTCTGAATGTTTAGCAGACAGCGGTGTTTTCTTGTTAATGCTTCAGGTAATGGGATTAGTGTGGAAGGAGCGTTACTCACAGAGCAGGACGTTAATCACCCAAAACCAGCAAAAAGAGCTCGGACCAGCTTCACAGCAGATCAGCTCCAGGTAGAGGCAGCGCGCGTACCTTGCAGGGGTCAGGACGTAAGTGCCGAACCGATGGGAATTCGGATGCGTGGGGGGGGAAGGAAGAAGCTTGCATGCTTTAAACTCTTTCATAAACCATCAAGACACGGCATGTTTCTGCAATTGTTTGTGAGCTTCAGCAGTTTCATATGAAATAGTTACTCTTCAAGATTTTATTTCCCTGGGGGCAGCTAGTAATTCTGCGGAGTGGAAACGAAAAGGTAGTTCTCTTTTGATTGCCCGATGCAATCTGTTTCATCGGGCACTTGGATCGCTGCACGTAGCACAGACAAAAGACTGTTGGAATCATGCGGTGCGGAGGGTTGTGCTGAAGGTGGGTGCGGGCTGTGACCAGGACATCCGCAGGACGGAATTTAGATTTTGTTGCGGTGCACAGTGAGGGCTGTGAGAGATTGCTGCCCAAGCAGGTGAGTGTGCTGGGTTCCCGTTTACGCCCGTGAGCAGACTCGCCTCAGTGACGGTTTCTTGTCTTGCTTTGGTTTCTGGAGAAGACGGGGAATAGTTGCACACTTATTAATTGCCCCTTTTCCTCCTAACTTGACTCTCCTCAGTACTTGCTTTTCAGGTGACGTGTTATAGTCTTGGCTACACTTCTGTACACCAGAAGGAGAGACTATCAGCAGGGACACGTCTCTCCTTCTCCCCTCCTTCTCCCCTCCTCCCAGCCCTTCCAAAATGCACTGTGTGCTGATTTCTCCAAGCGTCTTTGAGCTTTGCCAGTTAAAATACACTGAAGTCGTCACAGTCTTGGTGTCCTGTTTCGGGACCTACCTTCGGTGTTTGATGCTGCGTGTGCTGGGGAAATGCCCCCACTTTAGTTTCCTAGAGCTGGGTGGAGTGAAATAGAGGGGAAGTGCATTTCAAGTACTTGGCAGCAATTCTTGAACTGTCCAATTTGTTCTTGAATGTACATTACTGAAGTATGTTTTTCCAATATCCCTTTACACCAGCTCAGCTGTTAGTTCTGTTCCTTTCCGTGGTCAGGACTAAGGGAAGTGGGGACTCAGAACTCTGGAAGTACCAAATCCAGACCCCTGCCCTGAAGGGGGAGGGGGCGGGATTGCTTCATCTGCTCTGCTCTCAAGGCTTCTGGCCTTATTGCTGCCTTGGCGAGGGTTAGCTCCCGACTGTCCCCAAGATGAGCTGTTTCACCCTCTGGGTCAGCACTTCACTTACATTTTTGCAGGGAAACCCACCGTCCTAGGGCTGGCTCCCCATGAAAAGGGGCAGAGGTGAGACCGCCTTCAGAGGTTTCTGCCTGTAGTAGGAAGGAAGCTGCAGTTTTCCACCTAATCCCGGCTACGCATCCCTGCTTTTGGCTCATAACATCTTTGAACTTCCGGTCCCGCGTGGCCGCCACCCTGTTCCTTTTGTGCTGGCTCAGCCCCAGGTCTGGCCTGTTGGCCCGGCCTCTCGTTGGCGGTGAAGGCAGCGGGGAAAGCGAAGGCTGAGGTGTCATAGCGCAGGGGGGTTGAGCAGTGCTGTGCGCTGTGGCGTGTGGCTGTCAAAGCTCGGTTTGCCATGGCAGCTGTGACAGGGGACAGTGTGGTGTCAGTACAGAAGCAGCATGTTGGCACTGATTTGGCACAGGGCGAGGGCTCTGGGCATCAAGCTCGAACCTCTGCGAAAGGGACCTTTTCCAGCAGCAGCCAAATGGGAGACGGGCCCAGCCATCAATGCAGGGTCTGTGTTCAGGGCTTCTTCCCCTTTGTTGTCAATGAAACGTCTGTGCTTCCCTCTTTTCCTGTTGTAAATCGATTGCCACCTACTCCAGTGGGTGTTTGAGAACCTGGGGCCTCTTGTTGCTTGTTGACATGTGCTGTCTGCTCAGCGCCTTTGTCTCTGGGCCTGTCCTTGATGCTGGTGTGAGACTTCACTTCCAGCACGAGAAGCATCAGAGGGATATGTGACTGTCAGCCTGTATTAATGCCCCCTGTGAAGCGCTTGTGCAAAGGATGCCCCTGCTTTTTGATGTCTCCCTACGAAACTGTAGGAAAGTAATAGTTTGTGTTTCTGAATGTGGAGAGAAATAGGCTGAATCTTGAAAGATGAAGCTAGGCAAAAGTAGCCAACCATCAAGGGGCAAAGTCGGAGATGAGGAACTACAGTTCGCTGAGACACCCTGCAGAAATCCATGCTTCCTTAAGTAAGATAAACTCCCACAGGTCAAGTTGACATCTGCTTCCTTAAATCACTTAATTCCTGCCCTAATGACAAGTGGTCCCTTCAGTTTTCTGTAGCAAGATGGGTGTAACCCAGCAGTTACAGAGTGCAGGTCAGCCCAGGTGGAGCCTCTGTGTTCCTCCCGTCGGTCGAAGGTCGAGGAGGCACAAGGTGCTTCTCAGTTGCCTGCATCCTCCTTGCAGCTGGAGAGGGATGCAGGTTGCTCTATGTCATGCAAGAGGCAGGTAGTGACGGCCGGTTCAGAGCGGCGGATCAGGGTTCCCTCCTTGCACTGCGTGCTGTGATGTGCTGCTGCAGGCACTTCCTTTACCGAGCATGCTTGGCTTCGCTTTGCTGCGAACTGTCTCCCCCAGTCCTCCTCAATGCAATTGTAACAGAGCATCTCCTGCTTTTTTTACTACTGCCAAGCAGAATTCCTTTCTGTCATTCCTGGTAAATGTCTCTGTTCAGTTAAGCATAATAAGGGGCTTGTATTTTGCCTGCGAGGGATGTACTTTCTTTCCCGTGGTGTAGGTGGGGCTGCCTGGGGACCAGCGGTTACAGCAGCTTCCTAAAACCGGTCAAGGAGTAGGACAGCGGTCTGGGGGAGCGTGTAATGCTGCTCTCAGGAGTGCACCCAAAAACCGGTGGTCTCTTGCCTTTCCAGGTTATGCAAGCACAGTTTGCTCAGGACAACAATCCAGATGCACAAACGCTTCAGAAGCTGGCAGAAAGAACAGGCTTGAGCAGACGTGTTATACAGGTAACTGCTAAGCTGCTTGACTGGTGAAGTCTCTACTCGTCCACTGCAAATGCTTAACCGCAGTCTTCTCCGTGTCGTCGTTCTGAGATGGAAAAGGATCAAATCTGGTAGCTCTGACGTAACTTTGGTCAGCATCCTTGTTTGTCCTAGACCTGTTCCCAGCTACATTAGAAAACTTGCTGTGTTCCTTTTGCACTTCATGTGGGGGATTAATAATCTTCTGGGATTAATAATCTTCCTGGAAGAAACTTCTCAGCCCGAATAGTATAGAATTGGCACTCCTCTAATCACAAATTTCTGACTTCAAGAGCTTGTTCTTCAGACCTGTGCTCTTTGAAAATGGCTTGTGGTGACACACTAGGAGCATCTCTGCTCTAGACAGCAGAGTTGGGAGATCAGTGCCATCCAAACTGGAGAGAGACACAGACTTAGAATCTTTGTTTGAAGGTGCCTCTCAGCAAACGTTATAGGCATGTTTATGTATAAAAAATGATGTAGTATAAATTATACACTTACATGTTCACATGAATAAGAGTAAGTTTGCAGTTCCCCTAGCTAATTCTGGCCTGGAAGACCAACAGCTTTTCTGTAGAAATGAGGTATTTGGCAGCTGTGATCAAGCATTAAAAAAGTGGAAGCTCACACGCTGCTCGGTGTGAAAAGGAAGATGGGTGCCCCATGGGTGCCCCGCGTCGCCCTTGGTGGCGTTGGCGCCAGGAGGTGGCTGCGTGCCGTGCCGTGCCATGCTGTGCCATGCCAACAGCCCAGCAGGCGTGCGGGGCCGTGGGTGCTGCTGCTCGGGCTGGCAGGAGTCGTGCAGCCCTTCGCCGGCTGCTGCTCACGGCAGAAGCTTTTCTGATTTGGGCGAGGCGCGACACGGGCTGAGAGCGAGTGCTGCGTCATCAGGACTGTCGGTGTCATGGTGAGGGCCCAATGACCCGAGGCCGGCTGCAGTTGGAACGCTGGGGTGTTTACTGTGCTGATGTTGAAACGGAATGCAATCCATCAACGTGATGTAAACTTTTCCCCCTTTTCAGGTGTGGTTTCAAAATTGTAGAGCACGCCATAAGAAACATGTTAGTCCTAATCACTCATCTACTGCTCCTGTCACAGCAGTTCAGCCCTCCAGGCTGTCTCCACCTATGTTAGAAGAAATGGCATACTCCGCGTACGTGCCCGCGGACGGGACGATGCTCACTGCTCTGCACAGCTACATGGATGGTGGGTATAACAGCCTCGCACGTCCAAGTGCAGTCACTGTTGACACTAGCAGGAACAGGTTACTGAGTGCCAATGAAAGACACTTAATGTGTTTGTAATCTGTAGTAATCGTCAGAGACTGTCCTAGTGCTGTCCCCGCTGCCTGCGCCTCGCTAGGCGTGCCTTTTCCCTGTAGGACCTGGGCGCGCTCTGCCCTGTGCACGCTGGTCAGTCGGGGTACAAAGAGCACGTCCTGTGCTTCCCCCCAACGATGAATCCCACTTACAAGACATCACTTTGCTTTAAATGCCCGTGCGCGGTTTTCGATGGCACGTGATGCGGATGCGAACCGTTCAGCCCCGCTCCTTGAGCGTACCCCGAGGGCTGAACGTGTACCTGGTGCAGCAGCTTCGCTGAGAGCTGAGCCTTCCCAGGGTGGGGGGGACGGGGTGGTCACTAGTGAATTCCCGTCACCGTGTGTCTTACCGACAACTCCGGCTCGTGTTTGTGGTTAGGAGAGACTGAAGGCTTTGGGAGTAGACGGAGCCGCGCGCGGGGCCTGAGCGTTTCCTCCGAAGCGCAGGTGTAGGGCGGGCTGTGGGTGAAGGGGTGTGCGTGCTGGGCTGAGGAGAAGGGGGCATGCTGGGACTAGTGACCTCTCACTGCCCGCTGGGATTCCATCCTTTTCCACCTCCGATGAAGCTGACGGGTAACTGTTTCTGTTTTTGTAGCTCATTCACCTACAGCTCTTGGGCTCCAGCCTTTGCTACCGCACTCAATGACGCAGCTGCCCATAAGTCACACCTGAGCCCCTTCTCTCAGGGATATGAGCTACCAAGGACGTAACCTGAAGTCGTTGATTGTGTGTTAAAAATATCCTTAGAAAGATATTAACGTTAACTTTTTCTTTAACATCCGAAGCGTTTTTGAGGTAACTCTTGCTGCCGAGGTACGTGTGTATTTAGCCTGCGAGACACTTTTATGGGTTCTGCATAAATAACGATGACATTGTTTACAAGCCTTATTAAATACCTTTTTGTATTGTCTGGAAGTAGTCCACTCTAGTTATGTGTGTTAATTTATTTGTCATCAAAAGAGCACTTTGCCTAAAAGAAAGGACTGACAATTGTGCAAAACGTTTACAATTCTCTGTGAAACTGTAGTTTATCATTAGTTTGTATCTGTAAGTTATTGCTGAAAGTATTCCCTGTGTTTGAGTTGTATACAGCCTCTGTGGTAACGCTTACTTCTGTGAGTTTACAAAAATAAATTTTGGTTGCAAATATTTTCAACAAGAACTGAATAAAGTTCCCGTTGTAGCATGCGAAGCACAACGCTGCTGTGTTTGTGGCTGGACCGCGCTGGCTTGGGGAGCGCTGACCTTGCATCTTCAGTTGTAAGAGAAGGTCCCTGGTACAGACACGTGCACTGCCCCAAACTCGGGGTGGTCGTGTTTGTCTCAATCGACTCAAATCCTTTAATGGGCTCAGGTTGGCCTCGAAACACCCTGAATAGGTGGTGTTAAAGGGGGTGCAAAGCAGTGAGGGGGAGGGCGCAGCCCTGCAGTGGGAGGGGTGACAGATGGGGTTGATGCTTAACTGGCATTTGATCAGAAAGTGAAGAGCCTGAATTTGCTTTGGCTTTCTGGTTTCAAATTTTACTGCAGTGTCTGTTTTTTTTCAGTGGTTTTACCTTGCAGTTTTGTTAAGGAGGAGGGTAACAGGCAATGCTTCATGCAGAGCTAGATCTTGAAAAATGTGGCTCTGTTCAACTGGCCTGTGTGGAACTGCACCAGAACAGAGGTCAGAATTCAGTCAGATGCCCAAGAACACCAAGATTTAAAATGTTAATGTGCCGAGACTGAAGTGCAGAGCAGGTTGTGATGTGCTGGTGTGGTGGACAAAGGCTAGTGCCTGCTTCCAGTGCAACGGATTATTTTGTCTTCACAGACTGGTTTCCTTCAAGACGGGTAGAGCCACCTGCACACCCAGCCTTTACTTGCATCAGAAGGAACTCCTGCTTTGGAAGGTCTGTGTGTCTGTCTCCTTTTCTCTCCCCCAGCTCTGAGTCTGCAACTTCTTAGCTGTCCTGGTCGAACCATTTCAGTATGGCAGAGGTAGGGTTCTCCTTCCCACCATGGGAAGCCGATGGCTTTTAAGAGCGTGACTGTGATGGTAAGCTCTGAATTCAGGTTCTGTAAATTCAGTGTTGGCACTCTTTCGAGTGCCACTCACAGGCGTCGGAGCTGACCTGAGTAGCAAAAGTGAGGGGTGTGCGCTGGCACCGTGGTTTGCCCAAGGGGTTGTTACCCTGCCGTGTTTTCCACAAAAATCCCCAAAGACAGGAGTGCTGCAGAGCTTCCCTGACGTTACATTTTTACTTGGGCGTGCATAACTTCTGGGTGGAATTCTGAGTACGTTGCTTTCCACACCGAAGCCGGCTCCACGCATCGGCGCGGCACAACAGCACACACAGCAGTAGGCAGACTGGGTTTTGTCCGGTTGCTGGGTCTGGTATGCGAGTAGAACCACCTTACGGCTGAGGTTTTTCCAGGTAAACCCTGAATAATGCTAACTTAGGGCTCAATATAAACTTGGCAACTTCAAACACTATTTAGTTGTGGTTTAAAATGCAACTTTGCTTCCATCGTGTCCCTTGAAGGAGAGGTAATAGTCAGATCTCGAGGACCGAGGCAGCTCCGGGTTACCTGAAACAAAATCAGTCACAGTTTATCTGTGAAACAACCCTTCTGTTCAGCTGTGAAGTCCGGGCAGGATTCAAGTAAATAGGGAGCAATTTTCCCATTTCCCTAGGAAAACAGGAAGCAGGAGTGTTCGTCTGCTGCTGCTGTGAAGGCTTGAGCAGCTTTTCTAAGTGTGTCTGGGACAGTGTGGGGCTGAAAATGGGAAGCTCAGCTGAGGTCTGGCACTCCTGGGTCTTCCCTTGGAGCGTGTTGGACACATGCCACTGGCCAGTGTCAGCTGGTGTTGGGCTGTGTGGGGCTGACAGGGCACACGGAAAACCGGGGGCCGTTTCAGGCCGCTGCTCTCAGCTGAGGCTGTTGCTGTGGTCCGTTGCAAGCTGGAATGCTTGTCTTCCTACTGGGATGAACTGGCTTGCTGCTGAGCTCTGCTGACCCCAGAGCCATCCTACTGCTCCTCGCTGTAGGCAAGAGTAACATGGTTATTGCTCTGCTGGGGCAATTCGGGGGATCTCGTCACAGAATGCAGCTGTAGCTACAGCAGGGACACGCAGTACGCGTTTCGGTGCCTCTCAGACCACACAGGCTCAGCGTGAAAGTGAAATGTTGTACAAAATTGGCGTTTGAAATAAATAGGTTGGCAAGCAGAGCGGCTGAGCTTACTGCTCGCTCTGTCCTCTGACCAACTGCTTTGGGGTTTCTGGATGCAGGAGTCTTGGTAAAACCTGACATGGTTGTACCATAAGGAACAGTCCAGCACGGGTGGCTCTTCCCTTGATGGATGAATGCCAGCAGTAACGTGGAGTGACACCCTTTACCTTTAGCCTCTGCACAAGTCTCTTGCACAAAGATTCTTTGGTAGCTGATTTGGTTTTTTCAGTATCTTGACTAAACGTAACTCATGTTTTACACTGCGTTTGCTGGTGGTGACCAGCGTGCCCCCAGTCCTCGCTCCTGGCATGCTGGGGTTTGGCTCTGGTGTCGTAAGCTGAAACATCAGGGCTGCTGTCGCAGACAGGGCTGCGCAGGAGCTGGTGTTACTCTGCCTCGGGGCACTCGCGGCTCCTGGTACAGAACAGACCATGGTGGGTAAAGCGTGTAGCTCGACAGGTACTTTGTACCGTGCTGCTGCGTTCAGCCCTATAGTGCCGGGAAGCTGTTCTGGTAACCTAGACGATGAGGTGACCGTAGGATACACAAATCCCAGCTTTTCCAGAGCTAAAGATGCAAACTTGGCGGGATGAAGGTGTTGGCATTGTTGTTCTGCAGCTGATGCCGTAGCGTACCTCAGGGGAAAAGAACCCATCTTCCACACAGGCAGAATAAAGTGTAAGGCAGAAGCCAGCGGGATTACGCTGGTGGATCGAGCGGGTAGTTTCACATTCTGCTGTTGCTTGGAGCAGCTGCAAGGCCTGTGCCGACACCTTCGCTCTTTTTTCTCGGTCTGTATGTAAACTGTAATTTGCTGAATGCGGGAGCACCCAACAGCCGCCTTCTCTACTGTTTTCAGAAGGAATCAG